CAATTAATATCTCCTAGCAATTTTTGAAAGTCATTTAATGTTTTTAATGTGTCTTTTCTTATTTCTATTTTTTTTGGTGGCTTAATTTTTCTATTTTCTGTCTGCATCCCTAAATAATGAAAAGGAGTAGAGGTTTGAATCTTCTCAGATGCTATTGTCAGTCCTGTGTTGGCAACCTCTGCTTCCATAAATGTGTAACAGTCAATTAATTTCTCTCTCGTTTCTGCAGCACACAAAATATCACCAACATAATGAATGCTATAACAGTCTGAAAACTTGTCTCTAACTGGTTGAAGAGCTCGACCTATGAAAGTTTGACAAATAGTTGGACTATTAAGCATTCCCTGAGGTAACACTTTCCACTGAAACCTGGTGGCTGGTTCTTTATTATTTATGGCTGGCATAGTAAAGGCAAATTTTTCAAAATTCTGCTCTGCCAGAGGAATGGTAAAAAAAAAAAGCAATCTTTCAGATCAGTTATAATTTTGGGATCATGGCCGGAGAGGGCAACCCGTGTTGGAGAGGCCCCCTGGGTTGAATTAAGGCATTTACGTCTCTTAAGTTAGTTCACATACGCCATCTGCCGGATTTTTTCTGAATTACAAACACAGGAGAATTCCAAAGTGAGAATGAAGGCTCAATATGTCCCTTTTCTCATTGTTCCTTTGCTAATAAATGTAAAGCCGCCAGTTTTTGTTTTGGTAGAGTCCATTGATTTACCCGTAGTGGTTTTTCTGCTTTCCAAGTTAATGGAATGGGTTTAGGAGACCCTACAGTGGCCGCCCCTAAAAAGGATACCCTATTCCTTTTCTTTCTTGATTTCCCTCAGCCTCAGTTGGGACTTTAATGCCATTTTCATTTTTTTCCTAGTCCCTTTCCTGGTACATATCCCATTTTAGTCATGATTTTTTGACTCATGTCTAAACATCTGTGCCTCACTTCTCTGTGACATGGGAGCCCCTCCCTGCTTCAAATCTCCCTGGCTTTGGTTAAAGTTGTCCCAACTTCCCAGACCAAACCAATGTACTTATTACATATATTGATTGATGTCTCATGTCTCCCTAAAATGTGTAAAATTAAGCTATGCCCCGCCCACCTTGGGCACATGTCAGCAGGGCTTCCTGAGGCTGTGCCACGGGTGTGTCCTCAGCCTTGGCAAAGTAAACTTTCTAAATTAACAGAGATCTGTCTGAGAAGTCCTGGGTTCACAGCTGCAATGTCAAATGAGGGGGCTGTGTGAGATCACAAAGGTTTCCACAGAAAAGGTGATTCCAGAACAAACACCTAGGGAAGAAAGGATGCTTGTCACTTGCAGCTGAGGGAACAGAGAGTCCTAGGCAGAGGGACAGCTCAAGCGAAGGCCCTGAGTCAGGAGCAACCTCAGCCCCAGGCAAAGGAAAGCGGCCCCTGTGGGTGGAGCAGTGGAAGAAAGGAGGGTACAGGCAGGCGATGATGTCAGAGAGGTCTTGGGGCCACAGATCCATAGGGAGAAGGTCTTCAAACATTTTTCTCCCACAACCCAAAAGAATATTGAAAGCCAACTCTGATCCCAGCTACTGGAGAGACTGAGGCAGGAAAATCACTTGAACCCGGGAGGTGGATGTTGCAGTGAGCCAAGATCTCACCACTGCACTCCAGCCTGGGAGACAGAGTGAGACTCGGTCTCAAAAACAAACAAACAAACAAACAAACTGAGCTTTACCCTCTGGGGAAGAAAAGTCACACACTGTATTTTGTCAGTCATTTCAGGGGTCAGTGTCACTCTGACTGAGCTTTCCTGGTCGTATTCCTCACCTCTATGTTACAGGTGGGCTCACTGAGGTTCACGGCGGGAGACATTTCCCCAAGTTATCCTGAGAAGCTCTGAGGTGAGGAGGAAGGAGGTGTGGCTGATTCCCATGTGATGGCCTGGAAGGCCCAATAGGCTGCCTTGGTCTTCCTCCTCTAGAAAATTCCAACACCAGCCAGGAGTGGGGGCTCAGCCGAGTAATCCCAGTACTTTGGGAAGTTGTTGCAGGCAGGTCATTTGAGCTGAGAAGTTTGAGACCAACGTGGGCAACATGGTGAAACCCCATCTCTACCAAAAATACAAAATTGAGCCAGGTGTCATGGTACACCTCTGTGGTCCCAGCTACTTGGGAGGCTGATGCAAGATTACTTGAGCATGGGAGGCAGAGGTTGCAGTGATCCAAGACTGTGCCACTGCATTCCAGCCTGGGTGACAGGGTGACACTCTATCTCACAAAGAAACAAGTAAAAAGCAAAGTTCCCGGACTGTCTTTTATATACCTGAGCAAAAGCAACTTCTTTCACGATCTAAGGTTCTGATGACATCAATGCCAAACATGTAATTACTCACTCTCAGAAAATCACAGAAATACATTCAAAATATACACAAGTGTGAACACATAGCTACAAATGTTTAAAACACTGAAAAAGAGGCAGCTGTAAAAATGAGATTGGAGCAAATGTTTTCTTCATGAACATATGGGCTCTGCTAAACCAAGGTTCCAAGTCAATCCAGCCCATCCTTCCACATCTGCAGAGAATACTATGGACCAGAGGGACTTGACGGGGACATTTACTTAGAAGCTTACAGCTCACCATTTTATCAGATGACATAAGGAAGGATAATGGAATAGGCTACTTTCACTTGCATCTGTGTGAAGAGACCACCAAACAGGCTTCGTGTGAGCAATAAAGCTTTTTAATCACCTGAGTGCAGGTAGGCTGAGTCCGAAAAGAGAGTCGGCGAAGGAAGATAGGAGTGGGGCCATTTTGTAGGCTTTGGGCAGGTAATGGAGAATTGCAGTCAAAGGGGGCAGTTCTCTGGTAGGCAGGAGTGGGGGTCACTAGGTGCTCAGTGGGGGAGGTTTTGAGCCAAGTGAAGGAGTTTCATAAGGTAATGTCATCAGTTAAGACAGGAACAGGCCATTTTCACTTCTTTTGTGATTCTTCAGTTACTTCAGGCCATCTGGATGTACACACACAGGTCACAGGGGATATGATGGCTTAGCTTGGGCTCAGAGGCCTGACAGCTACTTCAGCTAAATTTTGTTGTTAGGGTAAAGAAAAAGGTTATGGATATTTTCATCAAAAGAAGTAAGATTCTTTAATAAATAAAGGGCGATTCCATGTACTTCAAGTCATTTCTATGGAAGCCTATTTCTAATATCATCACAAAACACTGACAGGACACAGACATGTATAACCCTAAAGTAAGGAGTATTTTTCCACTGTGACCCTAAATTATATAACAGTTTGCAAAAAACTTACCACTGTCACATCACTGAAGAGAAAAATATATATTCTTCATATTTACAGCATATTTACTGTAGACAAGTAAATGCTAAAGGACCACACAATATACTATATTAATAAATAATCCACAACAAGCTCATGTAAGGGTAACCAAAATCAATGGAAATTCCGTATTGTCAAATAATCATAGCACAGGGAAGATAAGAAAAGATTACAAAAATTAGCTAGGTGTGGTGGCCTGCGCCTGTAGTCCCAGTTACTCAGGAGGCTGAGGCACAAAAATTTCTTTAAGCCAAGAGGCAAAGGTTGCAGTGAGCCACCATGGCACCATTGTACTTCAGCCGGGGTGAAAAGAACAAACTCCATGTCATAAATACATAAATTAATTAATTAAAGGACAGATACAAAAACTGGCATACGTGTACTTTTTCTTCATAACTAAAGTTTTAAAATATTTAGAATAAAAAGACATGAAAAACATTGTACAGAATGCAACATGCACATAACATACATGTTAACAGAAATGCAACATATACAGAAATAATTCCGACATAAATAACAAAAAGTTCTAGTGGAGAAGGAGGAGTTTTTACAGGTTACAAATTTTTTTTTTTAACCGTGCCCAGCCTGCCATTACGTTTTATGCCTACTTTAGTTCTGGAACCCCCAATGAGCTATCACAAAGAATGCAGAACATCTAAACAAAGGGGACAGTGAAAGTCCAGATGCTACATCATGAGGCTTTTCATTTCAAAATCAATATCGCTTCCATTTTAGTCAGAGAACAATGGGGCTCCCAAGAGGCAACAAGAGAAAATGCAAAGATACACAAGGGCACATCCCCAGCAGGGAAGGTATCCTCACCTAGGAAGACCAGGTTCCTATAATTCTCCAGCATCACGTCTCTGTATAGAGTCCTCTGAGCAGGGTCCAGGCATTTCCACTCCTCCTGGGAGAATTCTATGGCCACATTCCTGAATGTCAATAGACGCTGAAATGAAAACACATTTATACCAAATGGTTCTGGGAGGAGTTCTTATCTTTACAGAAAATGAGAAGAGGACAGAGGGGAAAGCGTGGATTTAATTGTAGTGAATGTTCTGACAAATCCGAGTAAGGGATTTCTCACCACATGATGTCTTCCCAGTTGTGTTTTATTACACTTTTTGAAGAAGTCATGACACCCTCTCAGTATGAATTTCTTACATTTGTGAAAAAATACAAGCAATACATCAATTAAAAAATCAATGCAGGGTTCCCGTTATAGAAATGTTAGGAACTTTGACACACCAAGTGACATTCAGTATCTAGATTTGCCAGGGCATGAGTGAGGTTTTCAAAGATCACAACATCTACAGTGAAAGATCGGCCAGGCACGGTGGCACATGGCTGTAATCCCAGCTACGCGGGAGGCTGAGGCAGGAGATTCGCTTGATCACTGGAGGCAGAGGTTGCAGTGATCCGAGATCGCGCCTCTGCACTCCAACCCGGGAAACTGAAATTCCATCTCAAAAAAAAAAAAAAAAAAAAAAAAATTAGCCAGGCATGGTGCTAGGCACCTGTGGTCCCAGCTATTTGGCAGGCTGGAGGTGGGAGGATGGCTTGATCCTTAGGGTGGAGGTTGCAGTGAGTTACGATCACACCACTGCACACTAGCCTGGGCAACAAAGCAAGACCCCGTCTGAAAATAAAATAAAATACATGAAAACAAAATCACTCAAAGTACAAAAATCCATTTTGTATATATATGTCAACAAAATAATAAAACCTACACAGACTCAGAAAAACTAGATGTTAATACAAAGGATTGTCATTTTCCTCAGATTTTCAAAATACAAAAGATATTCAAAATATATACATATGTGTGTGTATATATTAATCTGTATATATATATGTGTGTATATGTGTGGGGATGTGTATATATATACTATATATAATGTATATAGTATATATATGTTTTTAAAAATGTAAGAAGTAGCAAGTTTTGTTTAATTGAAAAGGAATCTCATCTTGGTGGAAAAGAATGGTTTGGCAGTTGGGGGCAGGTGGAAATCTTGTCAGATCTTAGAAAATAGGAAATGCCCCATCCTAGAGGAAGAAATCACTCTCAACTGCCTGACATGGAGGAAGCTTCAGGTATCTGTAGTAATGGAGGTATGCACAGAGGCAGTCACTACAGGACTCTTTATACAGAGAAAAATCAGAAAGGACCCACACGTTGTCATTCAGCCAATTTCCAATGCAGATGTCAAAGAGCAAGCTAGCCACATTTGCTAACATGATAACATGTAAATTTTTACACCAATAGGATCAAATATCAAAGTAAAATATTTACTGGAATGCAAAGAAGAAAACAACAGATGCTGGGATCTACTTGAGGGTGATGGGTGGGAGGAAGGAGAGAAGCAGAAAAAGTAACTACTGGGGGCTGGGCATGGTGGCTCACACCTGTAATCCCAGCACTTTGAGAAATCTAGGGGAGTGGATCACCTGAGATCAGGAGTTCAAGACCAGCCTGGCCAACATAGTGAAACTCTGTCTCTAGTAAAAAACACAAAAATTAGCCAGGCATGGCAGAAGGCACCTGTAATCCCAGCTACTCGGGAGGCTAAGGCAGAAGAATTGCTTGAACCTGAGGGGCAGAGGTTACGGTGAGCTGAGATCATGCCATTATACTCGAGCCTGAGCAACAAGAGCAAAACTCGTCTCAAAAAAAAAAAAAACAAAAAAAAAACAAAAAAAAAACTATTGGGTACTGGACTTAATACAAGAGTGAAGAAATAATCTGTACAACAAACCCCAATGACACAACTTTACCTATGTAACAAAGCTTCACATGTGGCCCCAAACCTAAAGTAAAAACATAAATATAAAAAAATTTGGCCAAGCACGGTGGCTCATGCCTGTAATACCATCACTTTGGGAGGTCGAGGTGGGTGAATCATGAGGTCAGGGGTTCAAGACCAGACTGGCCAAGATGGTGAAATCCCGTCTCTACTAAAAATACAAAAATTAGCCAGGTGTGGTGGTGGGCTCCTGTAATCTCAGCTACTCAGGAGGTAGAGGCAGGAAAATGCTTGGACCCGGGAGGCAGAGGTTGCAGTGATCCTGCCAATGAACTTCAGCCCAGGTGACAGAGTGAGCCTCCGTCTCAAAAAAAAAAGCAAAGAAAAAGAAAACAAAAAATTATCTAAAATTTACTGTCAGGCCTCTGAGCCCAAGCTAAGCCATCATATCCCTTGTGTCCTGCAAGTATACATCCAGATGGCCTAAAGTAACTGGAGAATCAGAAAACGAGTGAAAATGCCCTGTTACTGCCTTAACTGATGACATTACCTTGTGAAATTCCTTCTCCTGGCTCATCCTGGCTCAAAAGCTCCCCCACTGAGCACCTTGTGACCCCCGCCCCTGCCCGCCAAAGACCAACCCCCTTTGACTAATTTCCCTTTGCCTACCCAAATCCTATAAAACTGCCCCACCCCCATCTCCCTTCCCTGACTCTTTTCAGACTCAGCCCGTCTGCACACAGGTGAAATAAACAGCCTTGTTGCTCATATAAAGCCTGTTGGGTGGTCTCTTCTCTTGTAGAGAGTGAAATTTGGTGCTGAAACCCGGGAAATTTGGTGCCATGATTCAGATAGGGGGACCTCCCTTGGGAGATCAATCCCCTGTCCTCCTGCTCTTTGCTCCATGAGAAAGATCCACCTACGATCTCTTGTCCTCAGACCAACCAGTTCAAGGAACAGGCATTCTGTTACACGTAGGTCCCCACCTAGTCTCTGTTCCCAATGCAACTCATCCCAAATCTTGCTTCTTTCCCTCCCACCTGTCCCTTCAGTCCCAACCCCAATCGTTGTTGGGTCTTTTTAATCTTCCTTTTCTTTGGACCCATCTGACCTCTCCCGTCCTCCCCAGGCTGCTCCTCACCAGGCCAAGCCAGGTCCCAATTCTTTCTCAGCCTCTGCTCCCCCACCGTATAATCCTTTTATCAATTCACCTCTTCACACCCAGTCCAGTTAACAGTTTTGTTCTGCGAATAGCCCTCTCCCATAGCCTTCTCCCACGTGCCTGGCAATTTCCTCTTAAAAAGGTGGCTGGAGCTAAAGGCATAGTCAAGGTCAATGCTCTTTTTCTTTTTCTGATTTCTCCCAAATCAGTTAGCATGTAGGCTCTTTTTCATATATAAAAACCCAGCCCAGTCCATGGCCTGTTTGGCAACAGCCCTTAGACACTTTATTGCCCTAGACCCAAAGGAGCCAGAAGGCCATCTTATTCTCAATATACATTTTATTACTCAATCTACTCCTGACATTAAAGAAAGCTCCAAAAATTAAATTCTGGTCCTCAAACCCCACCACAGAACTTAACTAACCTCACCTTCAAGGTGTATAATAATAGAGTAGAAGCAGCCAAGTAGCAACGCATTTCTGAGTTGCAATTCCTTGCCTCCACTGTGAGACAAACCCAAGCCACGTCTCCAACACACAAGAACTTCCAAACGCCTGAACCACAGTGGCCAGGCATCCCTCCAGGACCGCCTACCCCATGAGCTTGCTTCAAGTGCTGGAAATCTGACCACTGGGACAAGGAATGTCCGCAGCCCAGGATTCCTCCTAAGCCGTGTCCCATCTGTGTGGGATCCTACTGGAAATCAGACTGTCCAACCTGGCAGCCACTCCCAGAGCCCCTGGAACTCTGGCTCAAGGCTCTCTGACAGACTCCTTCCCAGATCTTTTCAGCTTAGCGACTGAAGACTGACACTGCCAGATTGCCTCGGATGCCTCCTGGACCATCACAGACCCTTTGGGTAACTCTTACAGTGGAGGGTCAGTCCGACCCCTTCTTAATCAATATGGAGGTTACCCAGTCCACATTATCTTCTTTTCAAGGGCCTGTTTCGCTTGCCTCCATAACTTTTGTAGGTATTGATGACCAGGCTTCTAAATCTCCTAAAACTCCCCAACTCTGGTGCCAACTTGGACAATACTCTTTTAAGCACTCCTTTTTAGCTATCCCCACCTGCCCTGTTCCCTTATTAGGTTGAGGCATTTTAACTAAATTATCTACTTTACTGACAATTCCTAGGTTACAGCCGCACCTCATTGCCACCATTTTCCCCAGTTCAAAGCCTCCTTTGCATCCTGCTCTCATATCCCCCCACCTTAACCCACAAGTATGGGATACCTCTACTCCCTCCTTGGCAATCGATCATGCACCCCTTACCATCTCATTAAAACCTAATCTCCCTTACCCCACTCAATGCCAGTATCCCATTCCACAGCATGCTTTAAAAGGATTAAAGCCTGTTATCACTTACCAGTTACAGCATGGCATTTTAAAGTCTATAAACTCTCTTTACAATTCTCCCATTTTATCTGTCCAAAAACCGTACAAGCCTTACAGGTTAGTTCAGGATCTGCTCCTTATCAACAAAATTGTCTGGCCTATCCTCCCCCATGGCTCAAAATCACAAACTTTGCTCAAATCACTCTCTACAATTCTCATAACTTCCAAAATCTATTTTCTTCCTCACACTTGATGCATATACTTTCTGCTCCCTGGCTCCTTCAGCTATGCTCACTGTTTCTTAGAGTCTCCTACAATTACCATTGTTCCTATCCTGGACTTCAATCCGGCCTCCCACATTATTCCGGATACCACACCTGACCCCCATGGCTGTATCTCTCTGATCTACCTGACGTTCACTCCATTTCCTCATATTTCCTTCTTTCCTGTTCCTCATCCTAATCACACTTGGTGTATTGATGGCAGTTCCACTAGGCCTAATCGCCAATCACCAGCAAACGCAGGCTATGCTATAGTATCTATCATTGAGGCTACTGCTCTGCCCCCCTCCACTACCTCTTAGCAAGCTGAACTCATTGCCTGAACTTGAGCCCTCACTCTTGCAAAAGGAATGTGCATCAATATTTATACTGATTCTAAATATGCCTTCCATATCCTGCACCACCATGCTGTTAT